ATCGCCCAGATTGATGATAACCCCCGCAACACAAAACATTGAATTTCACAATTCACTAGCCTTCTGTCGCTGAGTTACTGAGCTCCACGAATGCTCCCTCCCTCAAAATGTTTATCACGCAAGGTTTTTGACGTAATAATCATTTGTGTGGTTTTTATTTGGCAAACATTCGGAGTAAATTTTATTTCAGCCGCATGGAGTTAAAAATAGCACATGTGAGTGTCTTGAATACAAAATCCATACGACAAATACATTCATTTGCAAATCAATTTGGTTTTCACGGGAGACCTTACCAAATCACTCGCTTATGATGTTACTTAACCGAATGTGCTCCAAAAAGTCTTCTCATTTTTCTGTTGGTACGCGATATCGCAGTACGCTACTCACCATGTCCCTGACAAGATGCTGGTAGTTGTCGCGGAGTTTTCAGCAACCTGCTAAGTAGGTTCCTTTACAAACTGTTTTTTTGTTTTGTTCTGTTTGTTTAACCAACGGTTGAAGTAGCCATGCTAAATATGACACAAAAATAACATTTTAAAACTGTGCAGAAATGTACGGAGGAATCCTTAATTTGCTGCATGTCATCTTCAAATGACGAACATCTTTTCGGGTGGTGTCCCTAAAGCTTTTGCACAAGGTGCGTATTTGCACATTGGGGATTCAGTGGGGTAACGGTATTCTAATTGTAAGCATCACTTCCTACATGCAAGCCACGTTTCCATCTATATTCTGAAACTCAGCCGCATTTACTTTGCCCATACACTTACTAGTAGCAGCAGAAAAGTAGACATTATCGGGCATTTATTCAGATAACTTCATTTTGATTGTTAGGTTGAAGTCAGATTATATTCGGTAAGTTCAATCCTTCGAGGAGCTACACGCACTATCATTAGTGCAATCGCAAAATGAGGTTAATCAGCGCTTATCTTTCCTATCAGAATATGCACAAAGAACTTTGTGGCACCTTTGTGGATATTCAAACGGCACATCCAGAGATGCTATTTCGTGTTTGTTTTGAATTTACTACAGGCCTGTTTTTACAAAACTGGACATAATCTTATTCGCCGAAGGCGCATAATGCGTCAACATTAGGATTTCAAATCGGCCGGTTACCTGACTTCAAGCGTCGGAACGGAAGTCAGCCTTTAAGATTTGACGGAAGCGAGTTGTTCATTACCATCTACAAGCGCGTGCTTACAACGGAACGTTAGTGTAGCCAAAAATCGTAGTAAAAAGTGGAAAACATATTATTAAATAGTTTACCGTTTACATCAATGAGAGGCGACTGCTGTTTTATCACTTGTAAATGTATTACAGTCCAACTTACAGCCTTAAGAATACTCTAGAAAAATCTTGGGGTACGCGATGAAATGGCTACCGAAATTCCAAAATAGTATAGCTGACTTTCTCAGGGTGGCTGGATATGCCTAGTCAAAACGCCATACAAACAAGGGCTTAAATTATTGCAAATCAATTTATGGAAAATTTCCTGTTCAACATCCTAACTCGCTGCGAGCAAGTTTGACAAAATAACTGACTCCGTTTTTAACTTTTATTGATGCCACAATAATTCACACACACATCTGAGGCCAATTTATAGCAGTGTGCATCGCTTGTTGACCGAAAGCTCGGATGTGCTGGCGAACCTATGGTGAAAGAATTGTGACATAACAAGATTACTGTCAATCTATCTCACAAGCTCTCGATAAACTTTGCTTGTTACATATAATGATAGCGTGTTACATTTTGGTGCTCACAAAATCTGTAGTTGGAGTATAGTTGTCGAGATAAATTTGCCATCCGCGAACTATCCTTATTCAAATAATAGGGCTTGAGATCTTCGGTTGTGGTTGTTTTGCGAGCATCCCTAAATTTTTTACCAATGAATTCATATCGGCCGCGTTTACAAGAGCTACTGATGTAATTGACTCATTAAGCTCAAAGTCGAGCAGTGAATCCAAGTCTTTTTTACTGCGGCATATCGTTTTGAGGATTAAAGCTGCTTCTTATGGTTCCACAATTTATCCCGTCGGTAGTTTTGGTCCGCAGTCCTTCAAAAGATTAACGTGGATCAACGTTTCCTGCGGCTAAAAGCAGTTCTTCTGTATATATTTTGACATTTGGATTATAACCAAAGGACAACTCTTGTGCATTAAAAAATTCATTCTCATTTTGAATGAAATTAATCAAAACAAAGTAGTGAAATGTGGCTTATTGTTAGGCTAAGGACACGGAGAACAACATTTCCGGAATAATAACTTAAACGAGATCAAATCAGTCTAGTGAGCAAAAAATCAATCAACCAAGTTGAACGAGAGCAGCATGAACGGGACTGACCAATACGAACGCGCACATGTAAGGACTTAAGCAACAGGAGTCACTAGAATACTATTCAGTTGCCATCCACACACAATCAGCCTTGTGCCACCACATATTTCTGGGCCAAGAATGAGTAGGTAAAAACAAAATGTTTTAATCAGCTCGCTCTTTGTTTCAAAAATTCCAGTGAGAGTGAATAGAATCAGTATGTGATACTTTGTTCAAAAACGCAATGTCCGCACTGATCTCCTCAACTAGTGATTCCACGTGACAAACACGAGGCTCTTTGGTTGATATGATCTTTCAGAGATTGTGACGTCTTATATCCTTGTATCGATCACTGTCATGCCTTTTAGTTACAGAACAATTGTTGGAGGCATGTGAATTTCCTGCAATGATGAAGCCTTCTCAAAGGCTTCAGTTCCAGCTATCGTGCTCTAAGAATACTGGTGTGCGTCCCTCCTGTATACGGATATCCTGCTGCAACAAAACATATCTTGGCCGTTTGCTTGACCACTGAGTTAGACGGTTTAGTTGCGAACAGCGTAACCTATCGCTCGATGTCGATACGCCAAAATCATACACCACAGTTGGGTATTGGCTAAAGATGTTTATAAAAACCTGCATCACTCCTTCGACTATAGCCTTTTATGATGGGTGGCTAAGCAGTGTACGTTCACTTACCAGCAAGTATTCGTCACGCTTTAGCAGTCAGCCCCCGAAATGACTTTTTTATCTGATCGCTTATTCGCTCCTCTCAAGGAAGCGTCATTGCACGTGAAAGAAACAAGTTTTTATGCATTTGCTTATCAGTAACGAAAAATGTTGTTATCACATTTTCTACCACTAAAATTACCGCAACCAGTACAAGCTTACAATCCGTTGCCACACGGTGCGTGTGAAACACAGGGATTAGTTTGACCTGACTAGTTTACGTTCTCTGATGAAATCTCAGATATGACTACCAAAATATTCTTGCTTGACTCGTCAAATGAAAAAACAAGGTGATTTAATTATTCTGACAACTGAAGTAAAATTGCACGTCAACTTGAGTAGCATGCGCAGGAACACTAGAATTCGCTCGAACCAAAAACGTTTCAAATTCCTTGTTAGGTTAGGTTACAACGGCAGAACCCATAGTCCGAAAATACCACCAAAAGGTATACATTGTGGTCATTTAAACGCAGCTATCTGCCTATATCTATGGTTTATCTTACTGAATGTTAGCTGTTATGCTACGGCAGAGCATTCTTTGCATTATGTATTCAGACAATGCCTTTGCACTGCACTCCAATCAGCTAATGACACTGTGAGGATAAATTCAGTGTTGTAGCGCGCGAAGTATAAACATATATATGACACGTACATATACATAGGTGAGTCGTTGGTACCCAAATAAAATTTTCTGACTGACGAGGGCTAAAACGCTACAGTAATCTGCGATTTCTAATTGACGTAGATATCTTTGTTGAAGCATAATACGGTTATGAACAACCTCTCACCCATCGCTGCGCTCCACTACTAACAACGTACTGATGATGTTACCTCAATTGGTGATGAAACGTTTGCAATCAAATTTCCCAGCTTAGCGAACAAAAACGACTACCTTCGTTACTTGAGCTACCAATATTCTCTTCTATAAGAAACACTAAAATATTCATTATTGAACGTTCAAACATTGTGGTTACATGTACAATTTTCCTCGCCAAGAACCCTAGCTTGAGGATCTTGTGGAATATTGAAAATTCCGTCCAGCCCTTTATTTAATAACGATACAATTTGCAGCACTTAGCCAAAGCGGAAACTTGTTTCAGGAACCCCACACAACACTGAACCTTACTAAACCGAATAGGTTTCTAGGTCCTGTTTCGGGACTCGCTTAAATAAAGTTTATTTATCGCTTCTTGGATTCTATGAGCAATTATCGTCGTCTCTCGAAATCACCATTTGAACCTATGAGACAAACAGCCTACGATATGGACACCTAGAAATATACTTGAGAAAAATTCCGAGTTTCACTAAGCTTTGTGTCAGTTTTTACACAAGATCAACAGATTAATTATGCCCAAAATAATTTGCGCCAGGTCCTGAAAAACAAAATGTTTGATTAAAATTTTATTCTTCATCAGATAGCATGTTAATCGTGCAGATGCGTTTTCCGTGGTTGAGTACAATGAATTTAACTCCGCCAGTCTACTCACAGAACACAAAGAAACTCATTCGCCGACAATCTTGGGACAATACGTTTGAAAATAACGCCTAATCATTACTTACTGCAGACGCAGTATGATTGTAGAGACAGAAGAGGACATACCGTTTGCTGGCAAAGTAAGTAAAAATTAACTAAGATGGCCATTTTTGATTTTTTTTGTTTCATATATGCTCACGTATGAAATGTATACCTAATGTTTGCTCTACAGAATCTTTTGGATGTTATGAGTTATGAGTTTTTAAACTGAAAACTCCAGTTTTAATTCAACAGTCCAGACCTGTCCACCCGTGTGAAACAATGGCATGCATACAGTCCATGTTTTACTTAACAAGAGACAGTTCTGTTACCTGAGTAGCTTGTTTCGTTTGTCTATTGAGGAGGAACTATGCACAATGGTAAATTTGACAGTTTTGACCGTTAGAATAGTTGTAAAACCACTTCATTGTTTGTATTCCTTTCTGCTCATCAGATCCTACGGTATGGTTGGTTGGGTGTGGGTAGGGTGTATACAGACCAACTGTCTAAGGTCGCACTACAATGGCCTGCAAATATTCACCCCTGCCCGTATTATTTGACACTATCTGGCCAGTGGTCCTTTCGGACAAAAGTTGAACAGGATATTGCGGAAACCCAGGGCACCGTGTGGAAGCTGTTTACTAAGTCAACACAATTGATTTTTGGATTTAAAGGCCAAACGAATGCTGTATCACTCGGAGGTAATTCAACAATAGTTCGAGCTAGAAATGTTTACGTTTTGTATATACGTATGAGTACCACAGCATACGCACAAGCGCAAAACTGACAACCCAACTCTTATTTGAATTTACCATCAAACATAGGCATAAATACAATGTGAGGAAGACTAAATATATCAGCCCAGGAGTTTAAATAAGGTTGGGTCATATTTATCTCTTGTGAACAGACAATGAAATGAACATTGCATGTTGAAAGGGCCGAATACCTATCCAAAAATCTAAATTCCAGGTGCAGTAAATCAAGTTCAACGTCTCTGTAAATGGACAACCGTTTCCGTAGCTTTGGTTTCATGTGGACAGAACGTTAACTGCAAGATTCCGAAATGGGGACCGACACCGCCCTTGTGAAACACGATGAGTGAAACATGGATAGACGCAGGAATTTAAAAGTAGTAAAAAAGTGCACCTCAACAATGGTTACCTGGTCCTCTTCGCTTAAGATTATTCTGTTGGAATATGCAAAGTTGTGTGCAGATTTTGTTGAAGTATTTCCGAAAGACAGATCCAAATATATCATCCTTTTTTTCTTTTCGTCTGAAGGATTCGTGGTATTTTTTTATAACCTGAGAGCACAGAAAGTCATTTAGGACCAAGTGTGCTTAATAAAGTCATTAATTTTGTGTTACACAGAAAAAAGTGGCTGCAGGGTTATAACGAGTCGGATTTCATCTGGGCAGAATTGACCGGAAAATTAAAAAAACGTGGCAATTTTTAACTATTACTCAAAGGTTACTGGTGCTATTTTATAAACCATCGGCTTTAGGCTGAAGTAAATTTTTGCAACACTACACACTGCATTCTTTTTGCGTTTCTAGCTCTCTGACATTTGCTCAGGCCCTTTCTACTTTTCAGTATAGCAGTGCAGCCTTTTTCCATACTTGTCTTACCGGAAAAATCGAATTAGTACTGCAGCGTTCTCACTTGAGTTACTACCGTTTCTCTCATAAAACTCCATCCAAAGTTTCCATTCTTAAAGTACTTCACAGAATATGGATCAAGTAACTTTTGCACCAACTTCCTGGCGTCTATCATAATATTTCCTTTTATATAAGGACACAATGTTTGAGTCCCTGTTGTGTGGGATATCCTCACACTCATTCTGAGCGTTCTCCTGCATAACTGTGAGCGAACCAAGACGTCTTTTTCGTCAAACTAGTACAATGTGCCAATTTTCCAGCTCACTTGTTCATGATAGAGCTTCGCGCATACATTTCATTTATTTTCCACTGCTCGTCCGAATACAGTCGTAGGTTTACTAAACTAAGAAGTGGAACATGTCGCTGAAACAGGATTTGTCTTTAGTTAGATTTATTGAGCCTCAGTCATATGAGTGATCACCAGAATAAACGCATGTAGAAACTGACCCCTGGGAAGGAAAAAAACGCATCTGGTCCTTAAAATGACAATGAAAATCTGCGAAATTATTATCCCCGCTTTTGCCAGATTTTTCCATTTGAGTGTGATCCACGATCTACCACCCGGAGCTGAGATAGCGATAGTCTAAGAAGTAGGGCAACGTGTGTCGAATAAAAGCTTGATGTGAGCCCACGATGCAAGCTCGCTTTACTCAGTAATTATTATCTGCATGCTCTGCCAGGCCTTCGATATAAACTAATTTCCTGTGCTTACCCAATCGATAGAGCGCGCCGCTCAACACTGTGTTTTGGCTTGAATTCATTTTATGTTCACTTTGCACACAAACCGGAAGTAGCTACTTGTTTATACCCGATTGCTTAAGTGCCACGTGATGTTTGTTTCCGTCACTGCACACAGTTATTATAACTAGCAAACTATTTCCTTTTTATGTTCAAACCATGTAATCTGAAAAGTGTTTTTGTCAATCAAATCAGTTAGCTTTTAGCCACACGATGAAAAGTGATATTAGTATAACCATCGGAAGTTAAAGTGTGGATGACTTGAATAGCAGCGAAATACACTCATTCGCAAACTAATTTGACTTTTCGAGAGACCCAACTGGAAACCAGCTAAACCTCTCGGTGTTGATGTTTCCAGGCAAGTGAATGTGCTGCACCAGGCCGCATCATGTTTCAGTTGCTACGATATTCGAGATATCGCGATATATATATGTATTTGTAATGCACTTCTCACACGTCTTCTGAAAACCCCTCGACAGCCTACGACCGGTTTCGCCCTTCTTGCAGCTGATCCGGTAGGCGCGGTCCCCGAGTTTCCGCCAACCTTATGTTCTAACTGAAAACAAATAGCACGAAATCAGCACCAATATTTAGCCAAAGACGCTAAGATAATCTACCGCAGTTTGAAAATATACTGCTTTAAAAATATAGGGCAGCTTTTTCGGTTTTGCTTCACTATTTTGGAAGATTCTTCTTCGCCAACTTCATGTCCTTCAGCGTCTATCGGAATTGAACTTGGGAACGCCCCAAGACCTCATTCAATTTAAACATTTTTCCCACAAACTCAGCGTGTTTTGTGAAACCTACTTAGGTTATTCTGGAAGAATTTTGGAAGCCACTCGATGGAACTATTTAATGTGTCATACCTATCATGGAAGTTGTTGATTTAAATTTTGGATACCACCCACTTTGTGCATTTGAGACTATAGCCAAGATGATTGAACATTCCATCCCTTCTATGCTTCTCTTCTCTGTCTGGAAGAAATCACAAACCAGTTCAAGCCAAAAAAACTCGGTTTTGGAGGATTTTTTCCGGTCTTGTCGGTTTTATTGAGCTACTGTTTGCCACGGATCTTTTGAGTTGCCTCTAAAACAAGTCTGTGACTCACCGACCGACTTTAGTCACGTTTCGAAATGTGATTTGGCAATTTCTGTCATCTAGTATGTTCCCAGTCCCGTTGTTTTGCCGATATTGTGTTTCACGTGTACGTTCGTTAGTTGCCAGTTCTTTTGCTTTTGCTGATTGAAAGTTGCTGGAAGTTATGGGAAGTTATGTCCTGGATCGTATTTTTTATAGATCCACTCATATTTTGCAGGCAATTTCGCACTATGAGGAATGTCGCAAAATGCTCTAATTCCACATTTTATCTTTCATGACACGTCCTTACACTCTTGATCTCACGGGAGCCATCAACTACCAAAATACCCTTCTATCTTAGTTGGACTATTTGATTCTACCACAATCCCAGGTATTTCGTCCTTTGTTTCACGGATCTTGTCGGGTTAGCCTTTCTTTCAAGGGCAAGATAACGACACATATTTGCCCCCCTTTTTGCAACCCCATAGTTAGTTGAGAAGCTATCCATCATTTGTGTCAGTATCTTAGGGTTTGAGACCACCGCAACTTTTTACTTCTAAATTACTTGCTTAAACTTTTTGTGGCAGAACAGTTGTTTAGTTTGAAGCTCCATCCTTTTGAACCTTCGATGACCTGCCAAATCTTACAGCGTTAGTACCTTTTTTCTTGACCGATTATTTTCCGCAGTTTTTCGTGAGACAGTCTGTATGGTTTTGTCTGGAGTGATTCAATAGCGGCCCGTCCGCCTTAATTATTTGTTCTATAAAAACCCGTTGAAGATTTGGTTATTTTGCCAACCGTGCATGAGGGCACACCGTGTTCAGAGAGCTACTGTCTCACGCCTAATTTGCGATTGCCGTTTTTTATGAGCTCCTCTGGGAATTGCCAATAATCTGTTGCTCTTCATCAATCGCCAACTGTGCGTCTGTTTACTGCGAGGCTCCGTGTTGACGAAGGATTTTGGTTTAACGGCTTTCATGACTATCATTCTTGCGAGGACATTTTTTTGGCGTCCGGTGGTGTGGATCTACCATACCCACTTGTTTAAGCCCAGGCATCCAGATAGTCTAGTGTCGGTCGTGGAATTATGTCCGCTGGAAAAAACTTCCGCGGACGTTCAAAATGATAGCTTAGTTGATAACACGTATAATCTTAACAAAGTCTCTCACGAAAGCCTAAAATTACGTGATAAGAAGGAGAAGTATTGTTGACTCAGACTAGGAATTTAACTGGTTTGCTACTCTCTGAGTTTGGAAACCTCCACAAAAACGTTTTAGGTCATTAATCAATGGCGGCCGCCTCATTCCGGATAGTTGGACATATATATCGGGTAGTTTATTAACGTACAAAACCTGGACAAAACGCGGCGCAAGCCTAACGATATTAGCCTTACTGACGATAGAGGTTTGAGAAACCTAACAAGCGATTCACCAATCAACTCTGTACTACAAACGTGTATGCAAAATTTGACGTTTTTATTCACATACTTATCTGAAGTAGAGCAAATTTCATTTACCTTCCCGAAAGCTTTGCCGTAGACTTGGAGTATTAACATGACACCAATAGCAAATATCGCACTGCAGCAAAGATATTATCATGACTCGTCGTTTCTTCCTTATGAGGCCCGTGTATTCATTTTAACAGTTGATTAAGTGCACTACGATTTTGGGGGGTTTATTGTATTCTAGTGAAAGTCCCTTCTACCTGTATTTTTATCCCCTGCGCTGCTGTTCTGGCCAGTCTTTAGTCTCGAGAGCAGTTCACGGCCCACTGTTGCCATAGCAACAAACTGCAATTGACAAAACTTTGAACAACTATTTAGACAAAATGTCTACGGGGCGTTGTTAAATCTCTTAGATTGCATGCCCAGTATGATTATTTATGGTTATATCTGCCAACGAGTCGTCGGAGGTAAAAGAGGGACGTTTTTTCCAATTTGGAGCAAGCAGTAAAAATCATCACAAACTGAAAATATACTGTACCAGAGCCTGCTGCCCATGGGTAATAAAGTCATCACGTTTTAACAAGCAGGGATGATAAAATCAGGAACTTAAATGAAGCCATCAGCTTTTTTTGAGGTTCTAGTGCTCAATAGACCATTGAGTAAAATTAGTGACAAACGGAATTTCGCACTCTCTGATTGGTAGGAGGGTGCTTACTATACTTAACTTCCAAAAGATGACAGGGCTGAACGGATTGTTATCGTTGACTGTAATATATACCGAAAA